GGGGGGGGGGGGAGGAGGCATTTGATCCCTCCCTGACACTTTCTCCCTCAAGTGTGAGCCCCATGAATAGTACCCGCATGCCATCTTGTAACACTATCTGCTTGTCAGGAGAGCCACGGCTGGGGCAGCTATATAAGGCTTGTAACTAGGGGAAGCCCAACAAACAGCCGCAAACACCTCAGCTATTTGACTCAGCCTCCACCCTGCTGCTTTCCCTTCTCCTCCTCCTCCTCCTCCTCCTCCTCTTCTTCCTCCTTCCTCCTTTTCCTCTTCTTCCTCCTCCCTTTCCTCCTTTCCTCCCCCCCCCTCCTCTCTTATTTCCTTTCCTTTCCTCTCTTCTCTCTCTTCTCTCTTTTCATCTTGGCTTTCTGTTGCAGAATGCAAATCTAGGCTGCCGGCGGGTGAATGGACTGAATTGTGATTAAGAAGAAGAAGAGCTCCTTTCTTTGTTCTCCCCTCAGGGGATGTTTACTGGGAGAGACACAGCGGATCAGATATGAAAGGCATTCAGGTCAGCATTGATGTGAGCGAAAGTGAAATCATACCTAAGGCATTCAAAAGACCGCCGTGTCAGGGGTTCAGCTAACGGTGCAGCCACTATGTGTATGTCTCTCTCTCTCTCTCTCTCTCTCTCTCTTCCCTGGTAGGCACACGAAAATAACAACAACAATCACAATAATAATAATAATACGATGGTGATAATAATAGTAGTAGTAATAATAATGCACAAATAAAATAAAATCCACATGGGTATGTTATTTATTTAGTTTTAAAGCACTCACTGTTTTCCCCCCTTGTCAAGTTATTTTTTAAAAAAATAAAAATAAAAATAAAAATACAAAAACCCTCCTTTAAATCCTTACACTCAAATATAAAGGCTAGGACCTTAAGAGAGGAAATAAATCACCTTGATTTCTCCCCCTCCACTCCCAATTGCGGGGAGCATTCTGGTCTTCTTTTTAAATTTGTTTTCAGGTGGGAGGGAAGCAAGGGCTTTTTCTCAGACCCCCCCCCCTCCCTCCTCTTCGGCTTGTAACGTGAACCCTCGCTTTCTTTGGTGACTCCATATGGGCTCTATAGGGCTACATTAGACCTCTAATTGATATGACTGGAGCAGATAGATAGGCTCCTTCGGAGGGAAAGGAGGCCAATCTGCCCCAGAAGAGAAGGAAAGGCAGCAGGGCAGATGGGGACCCGGTGGCCTGGGAGACGGATCTAGCCCAACACACCTGGCTAATAATAATAATAATAATAATAATAATGGAATAAGACTGCAGTACCATTGGCCCCGCATTAAAATAAAATAAAACGGGGAGAGGGATGAGAAGCTGGGAGGAAAGACACTAAAACGTACAACTCGGGGACTTGAAATAATAAACCACAGCAATTGGTTGAAGGTGAAATCTTTGGAGTCCCGTTCCGTTCAAGTTTCGCTGGCTTCCCAAGGCAGAAACTCTTTCCTCACCTGGAGGCATGCTTATTCTGCACTGCTAGTCCTAAATCGGTACCTATGGGCAACAGGAACACACACCAAGACACACCAAGACACACACACACACACACACAGACACAGCCCGCTTTGGGGAAGATGGAGAGGAAAGGCGGCTGGGAACTTGGAGGCAGTCTTTCAGAACTCAGTGGGAGGTTGCTTTTTTTTTCCTGGAAAGTTTGCTTTAGGTAACATCCCTGGCTAGGGAAGTTTAGGAGCTGGGGAGTTCAAAATTATTTTTTAAAAAAGTCTTGGGAAGGGAG